CGAGGCCCAGATGCTCCCAGTAAAGGAGCATAACATAATGCTCTGCAAGCAGTTCCTCGCTGGGAGCCACAGACGTGGCCATCCCAGCGGGCAACTACTCGCGGAAGAGCCCTCGCCACGGCACGTCAGGAGGCATCTTTACGAACTGACAGACGAAGTCCAGAGGTATATTAAACAACCTCTGGACCCGTCAACCTACCGACAGGCCCTGAACGGCATTCACAGTCTCAAGTTATGAAGACTCCCGCCCTGTGAATGCCGTTCTAGGCACACAACCACCGGACGTGGACGGGACAGAACTTTGTCTGCCTCGGGAGACCCGCACTACAATAGCCCAACTTCGCTCTGGCTATTGCAGCAGGCTCAACAGCTACCTGAGCAGAATCAACGAGGATGTGCCCAACCATTGCCCGGCATGTGGGGAGTCGCCACATGTCTCCTGGCACCTCTTCACATGCCCTGAGAACCCAACTCAGCTAACGCCCCTGTCCCTATGGACAGCCCCTTTGGAAGTAGTACACTTCCTGGGCCTCACCCCAGCTGAAATAGACGACAACGATGATGGATGAACCGTCCCGAACGGGGCTTAGTAGCCGCTACAACAACAACAAGAGCAGAAAAGGCACTTCAAAAAACAGCTGAAACTCGGAGCTTAAAAATGAAGAAATATGTATGTAGCTGAAATGCGGCGGCACAATGACATCATGAAGCACTCGCTGAAGATGAAAATGTGAAGTATTTGGTTTAATTATTATTTTTATACAAAAATTTCTAGTTTTTTGAACGCTTATATGTGTATTTATATGTATAACTTCTTTTAATTATTATTTATTTAGCTGAGAAGTGCCTTTTCTCTTTACTCTTCATTATGTTCTGCTAAACTCGTTACTGCTACAGTAACTGTTTTTTATTCCACAAGCCTTAATATTTAGTTCAGTTTCCAGAACATCGGAGGATGCTTTCAGCTTCTTTCCAGTAGGTCTCCTTTCTTTGATTCCTCGCTTAGCGACACCTTTTTGTAGTACTGGTCGAAAAACTGTAACTTACAAAGATTGCGGCAACTCCAATGGATTTATGGCATCACGCAATTTTCGTCGTTGGACCCTCTGCGCCATCAACCGTTCTTCCCCTTCCTCTGCCACTTAGCGAAACGCGATGGAATGCATTGTTTTAGTTATTTTTTGTGGCAAATGTCGATGAGCGCTTCCAAAACTGAACGTCGTCCTACAAAGGATTAGCCTTTAATTTAAACTAATATTTAAATTTCCGGAGCACTAGTTTATTAATAAATTGGCTTCCAAAATTCACAGTGACAACTGAACCTAGCAAAGGGTACCCTTATGGTATTTGCCCACTTATTTTGGTTTATAAATAAAAAACTTTGAACTTACCAGTGTAGTCAAAAGTTTGAACCTAACACCCCTATTCTGCAACTCTTTCGTATTCGGATTTTGCTACGAATCGTAGAAATAGTATGCTGCAATCCGAATAGTATTTTCGAACTTTCGAAATTCGTAACAATGGCATGCCTAAAAACGAACGAGTAAGCTTTTGTACGAAAACAATTGTGTCGGAGGCGAAATAAAAGATGTAAATCGATCTGTATTTGCAAGAAATATTGGTGGTGTTCTTTTAAACAGATAAATTTGCCTTTCACATATATATATATTTTTATCCACTGCTTTATATAAACGAGCAAAAAAGAATATTTGTTGCCCCTTATCGAGAAACTTGGGTCCGGCTTAGTTAATGCGCAACGATTTTCAGTTGTTGTGTCCAAACGCATAACTCAAATCCAAAAACTTTAACATACACGTGTAATCAAAGGATTCACATTTTATTAAAGATAAATGTTTCAAATTTCCTACCACTAGCTTATTAATAAACTCGGTTTGCACTATGCACTTTTTTGCAAATTTCGACGTGGGTTCTGCGCAAAAATGCTGTGGACGGCGTAGCTGGAGTGATATGAACAAGAAATGTTGTATACCTTTGACATGCGGAAGGCCCTCTTCCCCGCAACACAGAAAGGAGAATTCTACTTAGTAAGGGTTATAACCCCTAAGCGCGGCCGAAGGCAGAAGCAAGCGCAACAGGTGGTGGACCTAACAAAGTGCATGTTTTCAGTGGCTTGGAAGAAGCTGTTATTGCATTAACTGGATTGAGAACCAACGCTTCAGGCATAGGAGGAGTTCTGGCTTGTGGTTCAACAATTCAACCAGAAGCTGACATAGATGCGCCCATGGTTATTATGCCCGACAGCTCCGCATACCTTTGTGAATCCATTGCCAAAGCGCCCGCTTACTCTGCTTCTATAATTGCAAATACATCAGAATCCATAAGCACATTAATTCCTTTCCACTTTGTTTTTCTTCATTCAGCTATCTTCGAAAAACAACTGATAGCTGGCAATGCTGCACGTTTCTGCAAGGGTTGCAGCATGTGGATTTTTCGTTTTTCGTAGCATAGCTACGAATTGCGAATTACGAAAATTCGGATTCTAGAATAAGGGGGTTAATTTAAAATAAAGAATTTAAATTCCCGCGCACTAATTAATAGCTTCAAGTGCAAATACACTTTTATGTTTTATGTGTAAAACACGCAAATTAAATGGCGGGAGTTGAGCTGTCAAAAACTGTCAAACAGCTCTTCGCAAGTTCGAATTTCCTGCTCCAAAATATTCGGGGAAAATGCTGCTCCCTTGCAGTTTAGAATGATTTTATTCTCGAGAAAAGTAAAATCCGCGAGACATGAAATCCTCGGGAATATTCAGAATTGGGTTGTATATTAAGCCTTCGGTAATCATCGCAAGGACGCCAAACATTCGATTCTTTTTTAGGCACCAAATGCAAGGGCGATGCTCCTTGTGACTTGGTGGACGACAAATACCTGATTTAACTAAAAAATCGAATTCCTCCTTTTTACTATAATCAGGTCCAGCAATTAATGACAGAAATTCTTTAAGAAGCTGACTATATTTATTATCCATTGAAACTACTTTCAGCAAAGAAACGTCAAAAAATAGGATATTGCGTCAACCGATAAAGACGTCAAAGGATCTATTAAACGTGTATGCTTTATATCTGCCAGTAACCCATATTTGTCTAAGAAATCAGCTCATAGCAGGCTTAGATATGTCAGCTATCCAGCTTTAATAAATATGAAAGGAAATTCACGTCTTAATACTAAATTAACATTTAACAATTTTTTTTCGTAGGTTGAAACAGTACTACCATTAGCCGCTCTTAAGAGAATGTCTAAAGAGCGTTCATGAATTTTGAATTTTGAAGAAGGTAAAACCGAAATGGGGCAGACTGTCTATTAAAAAAGTTAGTTGGTTATCTCTGTCTAATACAAATAAGCGACGTGCCGAAAAGCGTAAATTGCCATTGTTAGTCGCCGCAACAACAGCACCACTTAGTTTGTTGCATTCGAATCATATACCGAATTTATAATGATAATGACAAAGCCAGTTTTGTGATGAAGATCTACCACGTGACTGAGAATTTCTTCTTCCACTATAATATCTATTCCTGGAACGCGATTCCCTTTTACTTATTTAATTTTTAATTTTTTTTTTATGTAAGCATTTTAAGCATTCACATAATTGTGAAGTTACTTTAACTAAATTTTCTACTACCTTTTCAAATCCATCCACAGCATTTTGTCGCAACCATAATTAAATTTGAAAAGTGAAATTAGTCCGCGATCAAAAAATTATATTAGGCCGCGCGGGCATAATTCATTTTGAAAAGAGAAATTAGGCCGCGATAAAAAAATGAGATTAAGCCGCGCGGGTAGGATTCCTTTTTAAACGTAGTATCCAGTTTTCAAGAAAAATGAAAACATCATACAATATTTTGAGATCAGTATGCAGCTCTCAAGAAAATAATGTTCGTATATTTATTTCTTCAAGAAAATTTACAGCAACAGCAAAGTAGTTTTTCAAGCAAAAGAAACAATGAAAAATATTTCTTGTGATCTTTCTTGAGAGCTGGATCCCAAGCTTATTCCCTGTATGCAGCTCTCAAGAAACCAGTCAAGAAAAATTTTGTTGCCTCACTTATTCCTCAAGAAATAATGGAACGGCCATATATTTCTGTTGCAAACCTGGGTTGCCTTGTGCTCTTTTTTCACAAAAAACTTTAGAAAACCGTAGTAGAAAGCATAGAAGTTCCTTAAGAACTGCGTACTGCTTAACCCATTAACGACGAAGGGGTATTTAAATACCCCCAAAACACAGTTCATCCAAATCGCCATATCTCGGGGACCGTAACAGCTATGAGACTGATTTTTTTTTTGCAAGGTTACGAAATTGTGGTGTAAGTTACTGTTTCTATAAAATGTTACGGAATTCCGAATGGTTTTTGCCGTTTTTTTAATCAAATGTGGTAAATTGAAAAAAATAAAAAAATTATATTTGCCAATTCGTATAAAATTTAAAAGTTAGTAGAACAAGGTCAAAATACATGATCAGTTTGCCTATAGTATTCTCTAAACACAGCAGGAACCAAAAACTTGATCACGCAAATGCACTGGGAATCTGGCTCCTATGTCTTGGAGGGGGTATTTAAATACCCATCCGGCGAAAAGAGTATAAAATATTAGATTATATTGACTTTAACATAACTTTCTTAGAAGGAAAAAAATGAAGGTCCTTCTGTATTTTTTATTAAAGAAAAGGAAATAAGTAATGCAAAATATATTATTTATTATGAAATATTTATTAGTGAGATCTTTTTATTTTTTTGCATCGGGTTCGACTGCATTGTGATAGTCAGAAAAACATTTTTTTGGATGAAGCAATGCGTTACACTTTTTACATCCAAATTGAGTTTTTATGCCGCATTGACGACAGCGGGCGCGCCGATCCAATGTTTCTACAATGTGATTCAAACCGTCTGTCCGTTGGCCTCCATCTCGGTTGGTTATTCGTCGTTTACAAGTACGTACATCAGTTACCAAAGCTTCCGCAACTTCCACACGGAAATCGAATTGATTCATCGGCTTGGACTTTTCATATTTTGCACAAAACACTTTCAGTTTCCAGGCATTAACCATAGCTGCATCAAAAGCATTCGTTAGCAATGGCCAATACCACTTCTTTCCACGAATTTTAATGCGATAATTGTTCATAGCATTGTCGAACAAGTCTACGCCACCCATGCGATGATTGTACTCGTGAATGAGCAACGGCTGGGGAACAGTAATCATTTTCTTGCCTTTGCGATCATATCTCTTAACATGGCGTAGTGGCTCATGTTTAAGAAAGTTTGACATAATAGTTACAACCTGTTATATATTCATCACAAAACAAAAGAATATTATACAACAGAAAAAATTAAAAAAAAAAATTATTGTATAAAGAAATTACCGAATTGTCATTCCAGCGTGTAACTAGTACTTTGTTATTGCTATCAAATACGAAATCAGAGCTTCCTCTCGATCTTTTCTTCATATCATTAATGCACACCAAAGGAGCATAATTAGTTCGATTATCACGCACAGTGCCCGTTGCGAAGTACCCATTACAGCTCAAGCGACGCATCAGCTTATAACTCGTAAAAAAGTTATCAAACGTCACATTGTGGTTCTCGGGACGTTCGAGATGGGACAATAATTGGAGAACAACGTTTTCTCCAAGGCTATAATCATTACTGAATTTTGTAGCTGCACCTGCATACGGTATGAACTGGTAACAGTAGCCATCGTCCGATGTCAAACACCAGTATTTGTACCCAAATCGGATTGGCTTGCTTTTTATAAACATTTTACACGAATGACGTCCATAATAAGCGATCATCTGCTCATCTATGCTTAAATTGTGGGAGAATACGCCGAACTGCATGAACTTTTTATTCAAAGTATCATTCAGCGGCGATACTTTAGCAAATTTGTCACTCGGCCGAAGGTTTTGGTTATCACAAACGTGTATATATTTCTTGATTTGTTTAAATCTGTCTCGGCTCATAGATCTCTTTATATATTCACAACCTAGAGATTCCCTATTAGACCAATATGCTGGTATGTTAGGCAAGGTATGATAGCCAGTAATGTACAAAATGCCAAGGAAACTCTTTACTTCGTCCATTGTTGTGACAAATTCAGGATCATTATTTTGTGCAGCATACTCATTTGTGCTATCTACAACAAGCATAAGTACCTCATCATCTATGAAGCAATTCCACAACTGAAGTGGAGACATTGATCCTGAATGCACTCAATAAGTAATAAGTTTAAGAAAAAACGCGAGGCTACTTACCAATCTTCTCATATAGCTCCTTATGTGAGCTTGCAGTATTATCAAAAGGTTCCTTGCCAAACTCGTAGTTTTGCCGGTGGCTCCACTTTGGGTTTTGTGATTCAATCACTTTGCGAGTTTCTTGTGCCGCTTTCGATGTGGATGGCTGCAAATTGAGACCGTCGTCTGCGATTTTCACCAAGTTTTTATTGCCGTCGTTATATATATATTCCACTTCAAAACTGCCGGCTACTTCTTGAGGAAACCTTTCGACATCTGTGGTAATTTGAATATTGTCATCTAGTTCTTCCGTATCACTGACAGCATCCACTTTTTCAGGTGGCGCAATAATGATATTTATTTCATCTGCATATCCACCGGATTCATCTTCGTCACTCCAACTATCTACTTCTGCCTGTAGTTCCAAAGCGGTTAAAAACTTTTTTCTTATCATTTTTACTGATCAACACAAAATTTTGGTATTCACTTATATGCACAAAAGTTATTTTTCAATGCTGTTTTGATAATACTTTCATTACACAACCTATATCAGATGTTTGCATTGGCAAAAGTGTGCTGCCATACTACGCATTTTATATATGGTCAGAACTCAGATCTGACGGATGGGTATTTAAATACCCCCTGAAAATCACGATTATGGTAAAAGTTATATGCCTGAAATTTAGCAAGACAACTTCTATGACTTATATAAGCACTCTAATAAAATTTTAATAAAATCACACGACGGGATCTATGAGCAGGCTTTAATGGGTTAAGGAAATTTGACTCAAGAAAATTTCTTAGCCATTTCTTGTTCGTCATTTTATATTGAGTTTTTGCTCTTCTTGAGAGCTGCATACAAGCCATTATGGCATACAAGTGAAATTAGGCCGCCGAAGAAATAAGAAGGCCGAGTTTAACCTACAATATCCAGACCTTAACTGGGCCAGTTGTTTAGATAGGCAAACGCAATTAATCTCACATCTCATGATGGTCACGTATATATTACCAGATTTAACCTGCCAGGAACATAGCTACATCCAATCAGTAAGGACCTCGAGCTCTAACAACAACACTGGTAAATTAATCACCGACAAGACACGGCTTGAAAAAAAATCATTAATATTAAAGAAATAACATTTTATTCGGCAGTTAAATATATTCACGAATTCAATAATATGTTAGATCAACTGAAGCTGTTAACGCAGCGACCATTGGTTTTTATTTAGCGTTTACTCTTACACCTGAACTTATGAGGCCTCCTTTGCCAAACGTTCAGCTTTCTGGACGACTTCTTCAATTGGTCCAACCATATAAAATGCAACTTCAGGAAGATGATCGTATTCGCCTGCCAAAATCTGATTGAATCCCTTAATGGTTTCTTCGAGTGGTACCAGTTTTCCAGCGTGACCGGTAAACACTTCAGCAACCTGGAACGGCTGTGACAAGAAACGTTGGATCTTGCGAGCACGTGCAACTGTAAGTTTATCCTCTTCAGACAACTCATCCATACCCAAAATGGCGATGATATCTTGCAGTGACTTGTAGTCTTGCAGAATTTTCTGTACACCACGTGCTACGTTGTAGTGCTCTTGACCAATAATATTAGGATCCATGATACGTGAAGTAGAATCCAAAGGATCCACAGCTGGATAAATTCCCAGTTCTGCAATAGCACGCGACAGTACTGTTGTAGCATCCAAGTGAGCAAATGTTGTTGCTGGGGCAGGATCGGTCAAATCATCAGCAGGTACGTAAATAGCTTGAACTGAAGTGATTGAACCTTTCTTGGTGGTGGTAATACGCTCCTGCATAGAACCCATATCAGTAGCAAGAGTTGGTTGATAACCCACAGCAGATGGAATACGACCCAATAAAGCGGATACCTCAGAACCGGCTTGGGTGAAACGGAAAATGTTATCAATAAATAACAATACATCTTGACCCTCTTGGTCACGGAAATATTCGGCAACAGTTAATCCAGTCAACGCAACACGAGCTCGAGCGCCTGGGGGTTCGTTCATTTGACCGTATACCAAAGCTACCTTCGATGTTTTGTCTTTCAGTGAAATTACACCAGACTCGATCATTTCATTGTACAAATCATTGCCTTCACGCGTGCGCTCTCCAACACCTGCGAAGACTGAATAACCACCATGAGCCTTGGCAACGTTATTGATCAACTCCATAATTAATACGGTCTTTCCGACTCCAGCGCCCCCAAACAAACCAATTTTGCCACCTTTTGCATAGGGAGCTAGTAAGTCGACGACTTTGATTCCGGTTACTAAAATTTCTTGTTCGACAGACATGTCGACGAATTCAGGAGCTTCAGCATGAATGGGAGCGGTCTTGCTTGTTGGAATGGGTCCGCGCTCATCAATAGGTTCACCTATAGGAAAGAAATTTAAAAATGTTTATTTAAATAGATGTACTAAAAATTATATTTTCCCAAAAGTACTATTTGTGTTTTGTAGCATAATTTCGGGTATCTTAAGCTAGAAATTGTTTATTCTTTTTTCGTCTCATGACGAATAAGGCGCCCAAATATCTGTTGGAAAAATTAACGTTCCCCAAATCATCTAGAGTAAACAACTTGACTGTTCACACCTATGTGCATTATCTCAGCTCTGCACGGATATTCTTTGTCAATGCTATCCACATCTGGAACTCTATCTCATATTCGCAGTAGTTTAAACAAAAACAACTCTAGAAATCTTTTGTATGCATATTTCCGTTAGCTGGTGTGAGGACCAAATATCCCTGAGGAATTTAGCCCACACAAGCAATACGACACCGCACAACAGCCAGTCAAGCAACACAACTCATAGCAACACAACTCGTAGCAACACCCGACAGCATCTTTGTGCTGCACGACCACGCAACATCAAGCACGCAGCCCATAAAATATAGAGCACAACCAGAAAACAGTCAGTCAGCACGGAGTTGTGGTCGCGAGCGAACGACTAAAATTGAAGGGAGCGATAGCTTGTGAGTGGTACACACACCACAAGACATCGCCCCTCAAAGGTAGAAAAACCATATTTGATAGTGAGAACTACCGCTGAATGGAGCGATTGCTTGCGAGTGGTACACACACCGCAAGACATCACCACTCAGAGTAGTAATCATTAAAAACGGTTTCGATCGCCGCTCGCCACTGTCTACCGCGAAGCCGCGTACGAACGATCTCCGCTCGTCGTCGTCAGCAGCGCAACGTCAAGCGCGCCAGCAAGAGCGCTATCCGGCGCCGCCAACAGCGCAACACCAAGCGCACCCGCAAGAGCGCTACCCGTCGTCGTCAGCAGCGCCACGTCAAGCGCGCCAGCAAGAGCGCTATCCGGCGCCGTCGACAGCGCAACGCCAAGCGGGCCAACAAGAGCGCTACTTACAGTCGCCAGCAGAGCCCCACTCACAAGGGCATTACTCATCGGCGTTAACCGAGCGCCTCTCATCGTCGCCGCCGACAGCGCAACACCAAGCGCACCCGTAAGAACGCTACCCGTCGTCGTCAGCAGCGCCACGCCAAGCGCGCCAGCAAGAGCGCTATCCGTCGCCGTCAGCAGCGCGCCACTCAACGGCGTCAACAGAGCGCTGCTCACCAGAATTGAAGCCACGCCACTACCGCCTAACGGGCCCATAACGGGACAGGAAGCCGTTACCCAACCACTGCAAGTGACGCCAGCAAGTTTTGTTATTTGTTATATGTTCTTTATAGAAATTAAGAAAATTAAATTAATAAAGTGCGATTTACCAGAGCCCCGAAACTACAAATTTATTGTAACGAACCCTGGACACGGCGAGTATACCCCAGCATTGTAGAAGAAGCGGCGGGGCGAATAAAACGCTTCGTTACAATTGGCGCCCGAGCAGGGACCCTTGGTAGATCGTACGCGTGCAAAGGAAAAATTATTATATGTTTGATACGAGTAAAATGACGGAATCGGCGAACACTTTGTTGCTGGATAATGCTTGCAAGGAGCATCTGGTGTCTATCGCGCTTATCATGGACCAGGTACGGAAGTGGTCAGTAACTTACGACGGTGGACGAGACCCGCTAGACTTCGTGGAACGCTTAGAGGAGCTGGCCGAGATATACACGTTTAATCTAGACCTACTCCCAAGAATCATGCCCGAGCTACTACGTGACAAAGCCCTCCAATGGTACCGCAACAACAACGAGCACTGGAAGAGCTGGGACCCTTTCAAGCAAGATTTTCTAAGCTTCTTCCTACCGGCCCGGTACTTCGAGCGCCTAGAGGATGACATACGGCAGCAAAGACAGCACACACGGCAAAAGTACAAGGACTACGTGCTCGCGATACAGAGCTTGATGCGCCGCGCCAGATACAGCAGGGAACAACAATTGGAAAGGATCTTTCGGAACAGTCACCCCGATTATTTATTATACATTCGACGACAAGACTTTAATACCCTGGCGACACTCCTCACACTCGCTGAAGAATACGAGGGCATTCTCGAAAACCAACGCCGAACGCCGGAAGCGCCCCGACGTGAAGTCGCGAGTCACGTTGTAGGAGATAACCCTGAAGCGCCGCCTACACGGTCGGGCAGATCACCTCATCAACATCCATCGGAGCGTTCGGCCCAACGGCATCCAGTTCCACCGCACAAGGCAGCGATGAACCTACAGTGCCATCAACCACCAACGACCCGGTCTAACCCAAGTAACGTATGCAGAAGGTGTGGTCAAGAAGGACATTACGCTAGGAGATGCCGCAACGCGCGAAAGCTATTTTGCTGGAAATGCGGCCGAGCCGATGTGCGGACAGTAGAGTGCTGTCACCATCGCCAGGGGTACGACCGGACAGCTCCACCCAGGACAAAACGCGGTGAATTCGCAAAACCCAGGGCCGAAAACCCAGCGACCATGCGCCAGGAACATGGCCGGATCTACGCCCCAATACAACTTGGAGGGGAATTGGCGGAGGCCGTCATCGACACAGGCGCCTCGAAAAGTTTCGTGTCAGCCAACTTAGCGGAACGCATGATAAGCTCTGGGAACGGGGAGAAGATAACCGTGGATATCGAGGTATTCATGGCCAATGGCACCATCAGCAGGATATTTGAAGCCGTAAGAGCTGAGGTTCGCATCGGAAAATCATACCACCACGCAGTACTGAATGTCATGCCCGGCGCAGTTGATGATGTCATACTTGGCCTGGACGCGCTAGGCAGCACTGGAACGACGGTTTCCGGTGGCGGCCACCATATCGTTTTAACCAAAATACCTACACAGCAAACCGTAGCGCGCATCACAGAGGGTAGCGGACCGCCGGTAACACCCAGAAATAGCACACCGAACGGCGCGAAAAGTAAAAGTCTTAGGAAAATCAAGCACAAGCAACCGCCAGACGCATACCCACCGCTTGTACCTCCACGCGCGCAAGCAACGCACACTGCCGCCGCATGCCGTGCTGCAGCCATACGTGTGGTCAACGCATACACCGCAGTCGACGCGACACGCGCTGCCACGGCACACGCCGTCTCCGTTCACGGGACTAACGCGCAAGCAAGGCAACAAGCGTCCGTAGCCCATACAGAAGCCATCTCACGCGCCTCCGGCTACCGCACCAGTTTCCGCCGCGCACGCCATCGTCAGTACTACGCGCGCCCCGACGGCGCATATGGCTACCACACCGGTAGTCGCCGCATACACATACCCGAGGACCAGCGGGGCATAAGATCACCGAAGTGGGGGGGGGGAGTGTGAGGACTAAATGTTCAGTATGAAATTTAGCCCACACAAACATCTACAACATAAGCGGCAATACGACACCGCACAACAGCCAGTCTAGCAACACAACGCATAGCAACACAACTCATAGCAACACAACTCATAGCAACACAACTCATAGCAACACAACTCGTAGCAACACACGACAGCATCTTTGCGACCACGGCAACGAAACATCACACAGCAACATGTGGCTGCACGACCACGCAACATCAAGCACACAGCCCATCAAAATATAGAGCACAGCGGG